TGCCAGGTGCACGGGAAGCTGGGGTGGGGGGGAGCATTTGAATTCAAATTGTGTATGATGAAACTTCATGTACAGGGTGTTTGCTACCTACTGATGTGCTTGAAAGCTCTGGAGAAAAAAATGGTTTTCCAGTAGCTCCCAGTTTCTCCCAGTTTCACATACTACTCCTCAAGTCAATCTTACATGAAGAAAGTGTCCTTTTGCTTCAGAAGTACTTTCCTCATGCCTTGCTTGATGTCATTGTTCCTTAGGCTATAGATGACAGGGTTCAGAACTGGGGTAACCACAGAGTAAAAGACAGAGACAGTCTTGTTGAAATCAAAAGTCTGGATGGTCTTGGTGCGAATGTACATGAAGATGGTAGTCCCGTAGAAGGTGGTGACAGTGGTCAGAGGGGAGGCACAGGTAGAGAAGGCTTTGCTGCTGCTTCCTTCAGCTGTGGGTATGTGCAAGATGGTGGCCACAATGAAGATGTAGGAGATCATGGTGAGGATGAAGGAGCTCATTAGTACTATTGTGCCTACCAGAAAGTTGATGACTTTGATTTCAAAGACGTCTTGGCACGAGAGCTCCAGCAAAGGTGGTGAGTCACAGAAGAAGTGGTTGATGATGTTGGAACCACAGAAATGCAGGCGGAAGATGAAGGCAGTGGGAAGGGCAGGTGCAAGGAAGCCACCCAACCAACACCCCAGAGCAAGCCATAAACAAGCTCTGCAATCCATAATGGTGGTGTAATGCAATGGATTGCAAATGGCCAGGTAGCGATCATAGGCCATGCTAGTCAGTAGGAAGCATTCAGCTGAGCCAAGGAAGAAGAAGATGTACAACTGTGTGAAGCAGCCAGTGATAGAGATGGTCTGTGACTGAATAGCAATGTTAGCCAGCATCTTGGGCACTGTCACAGTAGTGTAGCCAATGTCTAGGAGGGAGAGATCACTGATAAAAAAATACATTGGAGTATGAAGGCGGTAGTCCATGCCAATGACCAAGATGATGGCCACATTCTCTGTGAAGGTCAGTGCGTACATCAGAAGGAAGGTAGCAAAGAGAAGCAGCTCGACTTCCCTGACATTGGGAAATCCTAGGATGATGAATTCAGTTACCAAAGTCCTGTTGTCAGAAACCATGTCCTAGAGGGGATAGGGAAATGGAGATACAGTGAAGGAATGCTATTCAGAATGATCTGAAGGGAAGAACAAAGGGAAAGGGAGAGAGAATTTTTACCACCTGTCACAGTCAACCATCCAGTTTCTGGATCAGTCTCAGGGGTAACTCACATTTTCCCGTTGACAATACCAGGACTGGACAACACTGTTTTATACACCTAAGATAAGATACATCTATAGTGTCACATACTTGAGTTTATTAGTTCAGTCATTGTTCCTGATCCCCTGCCCATATTTCATGTACATTGACTGCCTTTGGTTGAGAAAATTAATTCCCTCTGAGGAGGAAATGAAGAATATTTCACTCCAGGGATCACTCTCTGTAGGCTTCAGGGATGAAGGTTACTTCCTTTAACATCACAAACTTTTCCAACACCATCTCAACTGGCATTGCAGCCTCAAAACTACCACGTGCACTTCTGATATGCCAAATGGCAAGCCATACAAACTTACAGTATTACATTGCTCAAGGGCCAGGGATCGCCCTTGAGGTAGGTGTCTTTCAAAAGTGTCTCCTTACACAGTTAGGAGAAATGTCTGTTCCTGACTACCTCTGAGAGAACTTCATCAGTATGAAAGATTTAATACCTACCGGCGTTGGCTGTTTTGTCAGTTATGGGAAGCAGTCGCTTCTTGAAGAGCCATAAGCAAAAGGGGAGCTTTAGAGAGACTGGGGATACAGGAGAAACACAACAGGATTGAGGAGAAACAAAGAAATATAACTGCCACACAGCACCAATTATTTTGTCAAGGCCAAAGTAACAACAGAAAGAACAGAGAGAAGATATGAGAAGTAGGCAACAGAAAAAAGCAGCATCAACATGACAAGAAAGAGTTATAAAAAAAAAA